CTATTTGGGACTCGTCAGCTGGATGTACCTGCATTTCTCAGTGAGTGATGATGTTCCCACCGAGGCTCAAACCCAGTGCCCATAGTTTCCAACGTCAAAGCGTCATCCACTAGACCACTTGGGCCACGAGAGCTACCTCTTGTGCAACGGGTCATATTGATTTAATTAATCAATCGACGGGAAAAATTTAAAATTCAATTAAATCAATATGACCCGTTGCACAAGAGGTAGCTCTCGTGGCCCAAGTGGTCTAGTGGATAACGCTTTGGCGTTGGAAACTATGGGCACTGGGTTCGAGCCTCGGTGGGAACATCATCACTCACTGAGAAATGCAGGTACATCCAGCTGACGAGTCCCAAATAGGACGAAATGCGCATCCTGGATTCCACTTCTAGTCACCATCCACCAATTAAATACTAATTGAATGCCCAAACATCGTCGAAGCATCTGCTCAAGAAGCCGACATGTCAACCTGAGACCGAGCACTTCGGTCCAATCAATCGACGGGAAAAATCTAAAATTCAATTAAAAATTGATAATAAGCTTTATGCAGGTGGCGATAAGAATAACAAAGGTAGTAATATGTGCATATGTAGACAATTCAATAAATAAATTCGGTCAAATCTTAAAAGTTTCGTAATACTAAAGGTGAAGTTGACAGATAATCAGAGTTTAAATAAATATCAGAAACGAACGGAGGAGATGGAAAATAAGAAAGGGTGGGAGGGTTTTTAATAGAATTCACCTAAGCAAGCAAGGGAGAGACGAAGGTAGAACAGACTTCTTTTGCATGCAAAGACTACGATTGTTCTCTCGAATTCCCATAGATTCGACCATGTGTAAAGCGAAAGGCTCGATGGAATGCGACAGATAACTTTGAAGGCACTAATTCTGTCCACTTGGTGACCACTATCAATCAAATGAGCCAAAACAGAACTTCGTATGGATTTTATTTGACCTTTTCCGAACCATGGAGGGAGATGCTCATTAATGCGTTTGTTAAGCTGTCTAGTTCTTTCTCCCTATATGGCTATCTCCAGAGGAGCAGCTAAATTTGCACATAAACATAGAAGTCACACAGCTAGGTGGCTTGTCTTTCGCTTGAGCAATCATAACTGGTCAGCTGGAAAATGACAAACAAAGGATGGTGGCGGCATAAGTCGGTTTTATCACTCTCGATAATCTCAGATGTAAGAATTCACTAGCCACGTCCCCATTAAATTGCAATTTGATGAACAGTTGTTTCTTTTTCATTGTTGTCGATTTCTCTTTATTCTACCTGGTGCTCATGTGTTTCCTTACAAATCTACTAAGATAACCCATTTGGACCAGAGTATTTTGGATGTACCCTAACTCATTTTCTAAGAAGACACATGTATAGATCCGTCTGACTCTAATCGTGAGGAATGTTACTAAATTGATTTTGTATTGAATTTGTACAAAACTGAGGAAGTGTGTATAAACATCTATCTTAAGTGAACCATCCTCTCTTCTGCTCAATTGGAAATCAAGGAAATGTAGTTTACCATTATGTTCTTCTTCACAAGTGGAGATGAGCGATGGATGTACATCATTACATTTTATTGGCATTTCATTCTTGTCAGCTTTCACATCATTAATAATAAAAGTATCCATGCTGAAAATTCCATACTTGTACTGAAAATACGGTGTGGAATCAAGCTGTAAATCAAAAATTAAAAAAATAAAATCAACATAACGAAAATAAGAATCAGTTTTATTGATCACTTTTTTCAACGGACCATTTTCAAGCTTAGCAAGAAGAAATATGCCAAAATTGGACCCAATGTAGAACCCATAGTGATACCGTCGATTTGTCTGTAATAAGGGTTGTTGAATGTGAAGTGTACATTCATAGTACATGTTAAAAGCAACTTTTATTAGCTTAATAACTGGAATTCCGATGTCGAAATGTCTATCTAGAATTTATCGTAGTCTCCATAATTGGTACATTGGTGAGTAGTGATGCGACATCTAAGGATAGAATTTGCTTCCCGTAAAAATTATTATCATGTACGTTAGCAATAAATTCAAAAACGTCTTTAACACTATGGTTTATCACCTTCTTGTGTAACGGTTGGAGGAGTTCACCTGGCCACTTTACCACTCCATGGTAGGTGGAATCTGACATGTCTAGAACTGGGCGAAGAGGAAGTCCTGGGTTATGTATTTTGGGTAGACCGTACAATCGTGAAGTAATACTTCCAGAAGGTTTAAGACGGTTGTGAGCTGTCTCTGAGATTACTCCACTTTTTCTCAGCTCCTCAAGCGTGTTTGTTGGCCACTTTTCAGCCTGTTCGTCTAGATATGTTGGGTTTTTAGACTTTTGTAATTTCCTTTCATCCGTTAGAAGCGAATTCATTTTGTCAAAGTAATCACACTTATTCACCAGTGCTACTCCGGCTCCTTTATCAGGTCTACTGTTTATATTGTTTTCTTTGTTCCTTAACTCACTTAAGGCTTTCCAATGCTGTTTAGTCAGCAAGCTATTACTAGAGTGACTACTGTTTTTATACCTCTGACTACTGTTGACTAATGTAGTTTTGAACCAAGCGACTTCATCGTCTGACGTTGGGATCAAATCTTTTGTTTGTAGGAGGAGGTTTTCAAACTGGATATTGGTATCGAGTTGGTTGACCTTATATTCTTGGTCAAAACATCTAGGATGCATTGATAGAGCTTCTAACTGTAATTTATCTAGTGAAACACTTCAAAAATTATGGACATATTGATAACGGCGTGAAGGGAAATCCTTTTGAAGATTTTGACTATCTAGTGATTTGATAAGTTTCATTCCCCTTTCCTCTTCTCAGTTTTGGCTAATCCTCAGGAAGTTCATCAACCGCAAATTTCTTCTCTGATAATTTCCTTCCTTTTCAGTGATCGGGAATTTGGATAAACTTTATTACGACTAAGAGATTTTCAGTAAAGTTTAGGATATCGATTATTATTCAAAGAGTCATTTATAAAATCTGAACATGTTTTCGCTTCTGTGAGTCTGGTATTATACTTCAAGCACTTATTGACTGCCTTTAGTGCACTGGGATCCCCACGTGATTTCAAATCTTTAAATGTTCCCGTTATTAATATTAGAACAAGACATTTGGACATTTGTCACTACAAATATGTGATGACTGCTTACATATTTCTATTGGTAGAAATGTCTATCGACAGGTGCCCTTCAAAGAAACTGACTTCAATTTATGTAAAATATTTTGACTACATATTTTGATGATTAATAAAATTCGAATAATTCTGCTGAAGAAGCAGCTGTGGCTTACACAGCGAAACGTTCAGAAAAATCATGATTTGAATTCATTTAAAAATGCTGGGATTAATTTATATAATTTATCATGAATCAGTCTGACTCGCCATTCTAGTTATTTCAGGAAGTTCGTATCATCTACGGTCTGGAAACTTATTATCGCCATTGACTGATTGCACAGAAGTGCCTGGTCTCGCTCACTGTGGAATGCATGTACATCCAGCTAACTAGTCCGAAATAGGATGAATTCACCACCCTAGTTTCCACTGCTAATCACCATCCAACAAATGTCTTCAACACTCATCTCTGTATACACGCACAAGGTATGACCAACCACTTTGTCTAACCTCATCCTTCAATAAAGTCACCAAATCCTCTATAAGGATTGATGATGAACACTCTGAGTCCCCATCCCATTTATTTTCGCCATGTTTGCCCTTCATTTCATTGATAAACGTTTATTTGCAAACCATTAACGACTTCGTGACCTTTCTCATTATGCATATTACTCCAGGTTCACGTGATGCTTCCCAAACCTGTTATCATATCTACATCATTCTGTTCATTCCACTATGTCAGATTCATTACTATCTGATAGTCGTCATCTAATGGTACTTTTAATACTTACACCACATCATCGTTATCATTGTTATTTGTCACACTTGAACTCATGTTAGGCGAATCCCATTTGTTGGTTCATTTCTCTTCGTAGCATCTATATTTTCTCTCACATCACTGACTACACTCACCCTTGAAATCTATAAACCTTTCAGTTTATATAGGCAACCCCATCACTGAATTATTACATCCCATTTTATCTCATGTTATAATTGACCGTACATATTCAAAATGATAATGACAACTAACTGAGTATTACTCCATCTTGGACTTCTCCCACAATACACTTTCTCGTATAATTCTAATTTGCCTTTGCTGGTTATTGCTTGCTAGACTGAAAGGATTTCTAACTGAAGAGCCTGAACGAGGATTTATCGAAAAGAATGCTTCTCTCTAGATATTCTGTTTCCCAATTAAAATATTTGGGGTATTCAAATAATGTTTTTCCTTACTGTTTGCTCATATACTCAGTCTCTTATAGATTACAACTCATTGAATTCTGCAATTTCTGAAATTTGATGACATCAGCAAGTGAATACCGTCATCATATTTCTATCACATGATAGTTTGATGTAATTCGTTCAGTGACCAAACAGAATACATTCGTTTCACTCTATACCAAACACTTTTGTTCTACAGTTGGCGTGCACATTATTTCAGCTACAAGAGAACGTGATTTCTAGTTTCTAGAGATAAAAATATCAGCGGATATCGAACGGAGGTGATCATTGGTTAGTCATTATGTAATGGAGAGAAAGAAACAAGTGAGGATGTAACGCATTGTAGAGAAATAATGTATACAGATATACATTTTTATTTGAGTAAATTTGAACAACAACATCAATAGCAAGAAGAAGAAGAAGAAGCAAGTGAGAATACATTCAACTCATCAGTGAACAAACACAATTGACGGTAAGAACCTTTTGCCTTAAACATGACGTTTGTTGAAATAAAATTACAGAAAGGAAAACAAACAGACAATACGATATCCTGAACATCATGATGAACAAATCAACAGTTATTAGATGTCAAAATCTTTCGCGTCACGTTGAATAGTGAATAAACTGAGTACTTTCTGGACTGAGATATGGAAGGCTGATTATAGTTCGCCTGTCTGGTCTGTTTCATATGGATACTGATCGATGTAACTGCCGCTGAAAATGAATACAGGATTCAGGAGATTAGTAAATCACGTTGAAAATGATAAATAATATATTTTCGTCAAGACTAGTATTCACCATTAGGAGTAAAAGGTGATTTGGAACAACCTACCCAGGTCCATAATTGCATACGATGCTCAGTCTATATGTGGCAGAAGGACATTCAGTGACGCCACATCCTATATCAGTAGTTTTCTGCCAAACGATCTGCAATGGATAAACCGAAGTGGAAGGGGAGGAGGAGTAGGAGTAGAATTCTCAGAAAATAGGATATTTATATGGAGAGAAATGAATAGCAGACAAATCGATACACGTCGGTACTAGTCTACTCATCTATTCTCAGAATGTATGCTGATTCAAGTGATCATTCCACCAATCACCAAGTCTTTGAATGTCTCACGAGAAGCGAAATTTTAGTATCACAGACTATGAATCTCAAGAAATGCTGAATACCGCTGACACTTCAACACAAATCCATGTAAATACAGACAGGAGAATAGAAAATTTCAAAGATTGACAAAATGTGGTATGGTTGTTGGTTCGTGTTGCAGTACGCATGTATGTTAACGCAAATGAAAACGAGATTCAGTGTCTGTATTTTAGCCGTATATCCTCCCTTACTCCCTCCATTCCAGTTAACTATCCTAATGCATAAATCCTATTCGTCTTAACTCTCACAACCATCTGACATTTGCGATGATGTTGCTTTAGAATCAATGAGACTGCCTTCGGAGTGTAGTTGAGTGTTAGAGTGCTCGTTTTGCATACGAAAGGACTCTGGCTGCAAACTTGTCGTCCCCAATGGAGGACGGAAGAATGTCAACTGCGCATTCGTACAACACTAACAAACCTTAACTAAGTACACCACTATATTACTTAAAAGTAAAAGGTCACAATTCCATCTATTGTCAAATACAAAATATGCACAACAGTTCAAATAACATTGAAACAAGTAATTCCTCAATTTAACAACAATAGATCTGTCGCCGCACACCCGCACCAAATAACTCAGCCATCAGGCATCCTTCACGTGATCATTCCCTGTTCACCTGCTACTCCACACCATCTTTCATGAGTGAAACAAAACCTTGTATCACAAATTGTTTGTGGATTACATTTGTGCAGTTATTCACGCAAGTCCTACTGATATTTTTCCGTAATATTATCTGTTATTGTTCTAACGGTGTTGACACTAACAACAAACTTGTGAGCTAGACACATGGATTCATCAGTGTATAGTTACTTACCTGTGTATATTTATTGCATTGACCATTGTAACAATAACTACCGTAGAAATCATAATTTTTATATTCATTCAACCATGAATTGAATCCGCTTTATTGAAAGCATGGTAAAGAAACACAATAACAAGTCACTTATCAATTACTTGGACAAAATCCGTTTAAAAGCACATGTATAATGAAGATAAGATATCACTCTGCCACTGATGCGAGAATGATGCTTCTCACCATACCAAAGATCTGTGAATCATGTGTGAGAACTACAATTAATTGAATGACAGCGTTCTATACACTAAAGCACACAATACTGTTCCACTCATGGAGAGGAGAAGTAAAGTAACAATAGAAGGCCAAACACGGAAGTCAAGGTATAGTGTCAAGTTGTCAAAGTGCTATTTATATCCACACACTTTATATCCTTCAATCGTTCACTGAGCGTGCAATTTTAGTTCACATTAAACGAAACGAAATATATTGTTCAAATACACATATTATTTCTGTTGCTAGTGCAGTCAGTATTGAACTGTGGGAACAGGTATTCAGACTTTAACACACCAACAAATACAAGGATTCTTACTGTGATGATAATATTCCGTGGGAAGCCATTGTCTGTATTACACCACCCAATTCCCAAATTTTTTTAAATTGTTGTAAGTGGACTTGGTTTGGACACATATAATTTGACCTAATTTACTTATTGAATTGTCTGCATATACACATACTACTAACTTGGTTATTCATATCGCCCCCTGCACAAAACTTACTATCATTATTATTTTGTTATCATTATAATCATCGTTATTAAATCCGTTCAAAACATTTACCACATTATTGTTATTAGTTGATCCACAAAATCACCGTCATTAGTTAAGATTTTTATTTATAAATCTATTTAAATTAGAGTAAAGCCTGAAGAAGATGTAATTGAAAAACAAATAGTTCGCTTATATGTCTTGTCCCAATATCCATTCTTTCCCATTTACTGCATTCCATGTGGTTAAAATGTGTAAGGCTTCAGATGTCAACCTTTCTCTATGTGAATGGTATTCCCTTCCTAGAATTTCTACGACGTTATCGAAATCAATCTTATGTCTGCTGTGTATCGCATGCAATGCTATAACCGATCTTTTTCCAGACTTCTTAATTCTACCTGATTTCTAGGTGGACGTTTTCTGCATAGTCTATGTTCACTCACTCTGACCTTCACCTGTCTACTGTTCTCCTCTATATAGCAAGCTTCACATTCTGAGCACTTTATCCTATAGACACAATTACACCACCACAGTATCACTGACACACATACTCTGCTGACAAGTACAACTGACAAGGAAATCACTCTCACCCTAGAAATTGTGATTTATCTCACGTGTTCAACTACAGTGTGAAGTATGGAAAGATTCCTCAAATCTGCGTCATATCACAAGCCTCGAAGTTCACAAAGCAGTTCTACTCACATTGAGTATATTATTATTATCTGAATCGCGTTCAAAATAATTCATTCCCTCTGACACAATAAGCATCATAAGCAATTCTTCCTGTTTTTGACACATCAGCTAGATGCAGATGCATCTCCAGTGAGGTCATTTGAATGAGGAAAGCATTACTTGTTTGAAATCTATGTGCGTCTAGCTGACTAGCGAGGGACAGGAGGAAATCTGCATCCCGTACCCCCATGTCAGCCATCATCAACCAAATTACACCATGTTAACCTGCAGATATCGTCGAATCACCAGAGCCTACATATCAATTGACACATGGAAATCAATCAACGGGAGACACGAAATAACTCCAAATAAATGGAGGTGACATCATCTGAAATATTGTTATATATGCGACAAAAATAATTAATTTACTCCGGTTTATGTAATAAGCTGTAACGCTCTGAAACATGTGAAATGTGAAAGACTAATTTAATTAAATACTGAATATCTTACAGTTCGACTGTTGCTGCACCCGCCCAATTCTGTCCAATATATGTGAATGGCGGAACTTTACGCTCTGCGTCTGTGTCATGTCCAACACGACATTGATCAGATAAATTCTGTGCTTTCTTCTCCAACTCCATGTTGTATTTCTGACGAATACCACAAAAGAGAATGTATGCAATTCATAAACAAACATTCGGTATATATACATCTACAATATTGTGTGATTTCTCACTTCACTAAAGGTAGATTATAGGCGTAATCAGATCACATAGCTTTTTAAAAGTATCTCTAACTAACACGCACATAGCGGAAATCTCAAACAGGTAGCAGTGTTGTTTTCAGGATATGGAAACTAGTTTGAGACTGATCTGTGTTACGCGCACTGGACTCCACCAATGACCACAATCAAAACTTGCAAGTTGAGAAGACAGCGTGTTAGCCATCCAACCAGTGAGACGATATCCAGTGGCGCATAAATTCTTATCTCCATCCAACTGGTGAGTACCTGTCGTCACTGTCAACATGTTGGAAACATATGAGCATACAAACTCCACTGTTTCCAACAGTCCAACAGAGAAACACCTGACAGACAACATTCAGAAAAATACTCAAAACAAAAGTCGTATTTAAAAATTCGTCTTACCACGTGTTTGATAGCAATAGCTCTCGGCTGTCCACTGATCGCTCCATTTTGAACATCATCTCTTGCATTATTGTGAAGAGTCAGCAACAAATCTCTCAGTGTATCGTTCATCAGCCCATCAACACACGAAACCGTGAACAAGCATAGACATGATATGAATAGGGATGTGTGGTAAACGGAAGGCATTTCTGAGGAACTCTGCTTCACGTTGAGTGTTTTCTGGACGGAACTCTCTGTTCGTTTGACTGTCAACAATCACCGAAATGTGTGCATATATATACGCGCTAAGAAGATTAACAGGTAGATTAGTGACTTGTCAATCAGGCTTTGGTTTTTCAGGTGAATCGCATAAGGTTAATTCCAACTGACTGATTGGTTTTAATCTTTAATGGTGACCAGAGTTCTTTTACATATGTCTTAGGGAAAATTGTATGACCTATTTCTTTTAAATCTAATCTTATCCAAACAAATGTAACAGCTGGTTATTTATAGGGACATGTATGCGTGTCTAAATTTGGTTGTTTTCGATAAAAGTGAGTTGTTGATTCAATGGTATAATTGTCACTTGCCAGGCACGTAGTGCGGATTCAATTCCAGGCTGATGCACTGCTAATCCTCTCCCACGTAGTAAGAAATTCTGTAAAGAGGGAAGGAAGTGGCTAGCTAACCAACTGCGTAACGCCTCCCTCCATTAATATAAACTTCAAAGACCAAGTTTGGAGTCTTATGTTCCTCTAGGAATGCAAACGAATGCATTATATCTATCGCATAAAAGTATTGACGGCTCATTCATTATTTACCGAAATTTTTTTCCCTTGTTGCATTGAACAGAACAAGAAAACCTAATTGAGTAGCTTTCTTTTACAATAATTGCAAATCTTCCAAGGTGATTTCCCTTTGAACAATGCTTTACAGTACTGTAGAATTATGTAGTTCTTGTTTTGTTGGTACTTTTGTGCTGGTGACAGCGCTATAAATGTTGAGGTGGAAGAAATCAGAATTCATGGACAGTTGGATTTCGTTCAGGTGAATAAATGATCAGAAATGAGGCTTTGTAACTCAAAGCTTCTGCGTTCGATCTCCTACTGGGGTCATGGGTGAAGAATCACACACCAGGATGATACAGTTGTTCAGTTCTCCTCGGTTGTCAGTAGTTCTTCGACCGATGTCAGTTTATGATATAACTTGAGACCAATTAAATCTCAGCGAATCAAACATTTCGACGCCAGCTCTATTGCGCATATATTCAGATTTTATGTTGCATAAGGGAAGTCACCATTTCTGTCCAGGGAATCCAAAAGAATTGGACCAACTACTGAGATGGTGAATATATCTGTTTCGGTTTATGAAAATATAAGTCACCGACCACTCATCCTGTGAAACGTTGGAATGTTAGTAAATATCAAATGCTCAGATTGAGGAACAGTAACCATGCTGTTTACGGAAAACAGTCTGTGTACACTATGTCTTACTGCTATGAAGAAATTAATTTTATCCTTGTGCTTGTCGTCTCTCATTTACCTGATTAGTCAGCATTGTTTCCACTAAAGGTATCATAGATTGGGATATAAAAGTTGGCCAGGATAGGAAAAGCAAGCAGAAGAATCATTACTCTGAAATCAATGTGGAAATCTACTGAATTGAGCATAAAACAAAAGGATCCAAATTTTCAGCTATAGTGTCAAGTCAGTCAGTTCTTCTTCACGACTAAGAGACTTAGTGCGTCACTGATATCACTACCAGTAGGTTGTAGACTTTTATCTGAAGACAATTCCGCTCAACATCAAATGGCTAGTCAGAAGGGTACTCAACTCTAATCTGTGACAACAAACCAACTAACAGCCTATTGTCCAACAGATATTCAATATGGAATGGAGATTGTGGCGACCTGAAAACATATCAAATTATATGTTCATGGAAAAAAGAAGGAATTCAACCTGAAACCTTGAACCGCGCGCAAGGAACGAATCGTTCGCCCTCTCTCCGGCTGCTCGCCCAGCACATCTGCTGACCAACGCTGTCTCGCACTGGTTGACACATCCCCTTCGAGAACTTCGCTCCTATCTGCCTTACTCTACGTGGAGACTTCCGACGGTTGACAGCGCTAAGTTGTAGTGGAGAATTTGTATAATCAAGAGAAGGACAATTACATTCCTATAATTTCGTACGTCTATAATTTGTGTATTTTGTGACTGTTATAGTTTTCTTCAATTAAACTCAGTCCCTTTTTTGTGTATATTAACTTAAGTGAACCGAATATTTTATATATACGTATTTGTTAGTACTTGTTCTCTCCTTTTAATTGCGTTTATATACTTACCTAGCTACTAGGTCCACTACACTTAATTGGTGAGCCCGTTTTGGAACACGGATTGTTTCACGTATCTTTATACTTATTTTTGCTATTTTGTACTTTCATTGCAATTTTTTGTCGGTGGTCTCATATTTGTATTCCCCTTTGTACCAATATTCTCACACCTATAATGTCGTCCCATACTCAGCCCGGTATATCAACTGAACAGAGTTCAGGCAGCGAGGCACAGGCCACAATAAATGCCATATCTGATTTTCGGCTACCACAATACGGCTTTGCAGAGCCACGAATTTGGTTTGGAGTTGTCGAGCCGTTGTTGGAAGCACGGGGTATTAAATCTCAGATAGCCAAATATGGCGTCGTGCTGGCAGAACTTCCCCCGTCAGTATTAACGGAAATCAGTGATTTCATCGAAAACCCCCCTACGGAAAACCAATATGAAAAACTTAAAGCTCTCCTTATACAACGGACCAGTTTGTCAGACGAGAAAAGGATCCAACAATTACTCACAGGCTGCGAGCTAGGAGCGCGTAAACCATCCCAGCTCCTTAGACATATGCGCCAGTTAATAGGAAACCATAAAGTTGATGAGGTTGTGCTGAGACAAATGTGGTTGCAACGTTTACCCAGAAACGTTCAACAAATCTTAATCATTTCGGGAAAGTCGTATGATTTAGACTCACTAAGCGAAATGGCAGATAGTATTGTAGATGTTTTATCAGACAACACCATAGGTCAGATTGCATCTGACAGTGCAACACCATCTCAGTCCACACCTACGGCAGACACACCAATACTCGCCGCCATTGCAGACTTAGCGGCAAGGATTGACAAGTTGGAAACAAATAGATCTGGTCGACGAGTCCAGAGGTGGAGTTCACGAGCAAGGTCACCATCACATAGACGATCTCTCTCCCGACAGCGTTCCCGCATGTCTTCTAGGGACAGCAATATATGTTGGTATCATAGGAAGTTTGGACGTCATGCTCTGAAATGTGTGAAACCGTGCATCTTTAGTGAAGAGAATCAGGCTCAGGGAAACTCCCCAGCCAGACAGTGATGGCGACAGCTGTTACTGGCAACCATTCAAGTCGCCTTTTCTACGTGAAGGACAAAATCACAGGCACATTATTCCTGGTAGACACAGGAGCCGAAGTTAGTGTAATACCTCCTTCACTCTCCAGGCGATCTTCTAGTACAGCCGCAAAACTCTCACTTCGAGCAGCTAACCAAACTAGCATACGGACTTACGGCGAACAATCACTTATTTTGGATCTTGGTTTACGTCGTCGATTTACATGGATATTCATAGTAGCTGACGTTAGTCATGCCATATTGGGTGCCGATTTTTTAAGCAATTTCAATCTGCTGGTTGATGTCAACAAGAAAAAGCTGATTGATAACTGCACCCAGCTTCAAGTCCACGGAATCATCTCAAACTACTCTGTTTATAACATATGCATCGAGAAGCCAGATGACTGCATGTTCTCTGCGTTACTGCATCGTTTCCCAAAAATTTTAAAGCCATCTTATAATATCGAAGATGTTCCTCATTCTGTCACGCATAAAATTGTCACAACTGGTCAACCCGTCAGAGCACGTCCTCGTCGACTACCACCTGACAAGTTAGCAGCAGCCAAAGCTGAATTCGAACACATGATGCAATTGGGCATCATCCGGCCATCCAACAGTCCCTGGTCCTCACCATTACATATGGTACCAAAAGCTGATCATGATTGGCGACCGTGTGGGGATTACCGACGTTTGAATAACGCCACTGTCCCAGATCGTTATCCCATTCCGCACTTGCATGATTTCTCTCTAACACTGCAAGGTAAAACTATTTTCTCCAAAGTGGATTTAGTCAGAGCTTATCACCAGATACCAGTCGCTCCTGAGGACATCGAGAAGACAGCTATTATAACACCTTTTGGCTTGTTTGAATTCCTACGAATGCCTTTCGGGCTGAAAAACGCTGCACAAACTTTTCAGCGCTTCATGGATCAAGTCACGCGGGGCCTTGACTTTGTATTCGTTTATATCGACGACGTACTAATTGCTAGCAAGTCGGAAGAGGAACATAAGACTCATCTTAGCACTTTGTTTCAGCGTTTCGAACAGTATGGTGTCGCTATAAATCCTAAGAAGTGCATTTTCGGTGCCTCTTCTATTCAATTTCTGGGACACTA